CTCATCACACACCCGCACACACAGCTATCCCTTCGGTAGCGATAAACCTGGACAGTCACTCCTTGATTGATTTCGATGCGGTGGAAATGTCAGCAGCTATGACAAAACTGTGACTTTTCTATTAAACATTTTACAACACTTTAAAGCCTGCTGTATCTAACTCCTCAAAAGTCTTTAAATGGTAGAGGGGGTTAGCAATAAGGCAACATGTTAAGGAACATACTTAAGCATAAAATGTGTAAGTTGAAGAGATGTCATTTCAGAGACCCATGCGTCCTTCCATATGTGCAGGAGATACTAAGACCAACCCTGCCCACCACATCAGTTTTCTGTTTCAGTCCTGGCACAAAACAAGGAGCGTCAGAGCTGTGGAACAGGGAGGGTATCACTGATCGCTGTCTCTTTCTGTGTGTGTGTGTGTGTGTGTGTGTGTGTGTGTGTGTGTGTGTGTGAGAGAGAGAGAAAGAAAGAAAGAAAGAAAGAAAGAAAGAAAAGGGGTCTAGATTGTGGAGAGAGAGAGCAGCATGTGTTTCAGGAAAGCAGAGATGTGTGGTGCTGATCTTGCCAGTGTTTGGTTGCAGCTGTGGAGCTGCTATGTGGTGCTTGTGATCTTTCGGTATAGTGGTGTAGATTGACAGATTTGTGGAGGTACTGTTTAACTGTAATTGTAGTAAGTTCTTACAAGGTATGCACATATACAATATGTATGATAGAGCATGCTGTACAGGTCTCTGTAGCTTGTGTGTGTAGGTTATGGGTATGTGTATGGGTAGGTCTCTGTCCCTTGGCACTGCTGTATGTGTTTCCAGAGCATGGTTGATTGCCAAGGTGTAACCAAAGACTCGGATAACCACGCACATGCACACTGAGGGATGGACATCCAACAAGCAAGCTGGACCTCAGTAGCAACACTCTCCTAAAATAAAATAACAGACATTCTTTCTCCACCAACCTCATCACCACTCCCAGAAACACAAAGCACAACACAGATGTCGAATCATGGAGAGTACAGTGCTTTTGTAAAATAGTGGTTACTGGATGTAACTTGGGTTCTATGAGTATGTGCATGGCCCTCTAATGGGCTTTGCTGTTGGTTAACACCTTTGAGGCTCTGACTTGGCACCCTGACATAGATCTTTGCACTTACTGCCCAATCAGGGGGTAGCAACCACCCACTGTGGTCTCACACGCTGCTCATCTCCCTTTGGAACTCAGCAGCCTATATCTAAAAAGCGAGCCAGCGGGGCCTGCAGTTAGAGGACTATGCATGTACTCATAGATCTGGAGTTACATCCAGTAACTACTATTTGTATTTTGTACATGCTTTGCTGTTTGTTAACACCAAAGGCGAAGGCTATTATGTGATAGGTTCAGGTATTGGAATAGGTACAGTGTTTCTCACAGGTCTGAAATATACTTGTGGTGGTAGCTGGCAAAAAGGACTGGTATGACCTGTGGGCACAAAAATGGTCTGCTACATTTGACAAACAACAAATATGTGTGATCTTTAACATAATATTTTGATTTATGAAATATTTTATTAACTTCACATAATATACTTAACAGATCTACACATTTCCCCTTATATTTAGCCAGGACAACTTTGATGCATGTGTAGCTACCAACGCAGCATAGTTGCCGCTTTCTTTCATAGAATTCGGAGCTAACTACCATGTCAGAAAACAATACACAATAAAGAAAAAAGGGCCCAATTCCAATCCGGCCCCTACACAGTCTCACTCTATTTGCCCGTTCGTGTGAAGGGTCCACCGCAACGCGTGTTGTTCCAAACTAACGACCCTTAAATGGAAGTGGATTATAAAGCCCTCCAACACCGAGTCTGCATCAATGCAGATTTACAAACCCCACTCCCAGATGAGTGCAGCATTGCTTTGAGTCCAGAATGGATTAAATGCCATATACCTACTAATGTGAGTTCTGTGTGTTTATTTCCAAAAGATAAGTCATAAATTACCTCAAACAGACATGCACACATGACAAAATTAGAGGTTAAATTGTATTTTGGAATTAACATGGCGATGTGTACCCGAAAAAATGGGGTGTTTTTTTATTTGACTTGATATTTGAAAATTAAATTGAAAAAATAAGGATATAATTAGATTAAGACAGCAAACGAAAACATGTTCAGCAAAAACAAAATGCGGCCAAAGAAGCATGTGAGTGAATTTTTTATTTATTTAATCAATAATTTTCCTTTTACAAGTTAACTATGCCATGGATGTGATGAGGGCCATGTCATTGCCCACACATCTACATCTTTGTCAATGCTGTGTATAAGATTATCTTTTAGATAAGATTTAATCACAATATGTTGGTAACAATGAATTTTATGTTTCCATTGAGTAAGGTGGGGGTGTCCCAAAGCTTGCCGTTGTATTTATACCCTCCCCTTTAATGAAGAGACCCTCCACAGCCACTAGTGTGACTCCACACGGAGTTAAAGTCTGTCTCTTTAGTGGGAGTGTGTAGGGACCAGATTAGAATTGTGCCAAGGAGTTGCTTTACCTGGTCTGTGCTTGTAAAATATCCTTGTCTTTTAACGTACGTCTTTCTTTTAATCTCTCTCTCTCTCTCTCTCTCTCTGTCTCTCTCTCTCTCTCTGTCTCCCCCTCTTCCTCTCTTTCTGTGTGTGTGGTTCTCTGCAGATGCTGGGCGATTGTCAGTAGACCCTTCTTGTGATAGCAGAACGAACAGGACCGGTAGAGTGATGGGAGAGTAATTGATTGCAGATGGTGTTGTTCTCTTGGATGGATAAAAAAAAAATGCTAAAATGTGTCGCCAAATATAATTTGGCGGCTGTTAATATACTTGGGTGGTGTGCCCAAGTAAAATCTATGTGTGGGAACCACTGAGGTATTTTGAAGGAAAATATGGGATTAGAGTATATCTATATAAAATGTGTCTGTCATCCTACTGTCATCACTCAGGGTATGAGAGAGAGAGAGAATGACGAGCAAAACAAAAAGACTGAATGAGTGAGTGAGTGATCGAGTTACACTATTGGTCACCTGAATACCATGTGACTTAGTCATGACGTTACACACGCCTTTGCCCTTTTTAAATGAATTGGCACAGTTTCAATTTGGGGATTGTTTACAGCCTGCAATTTTGCTAACTTCATCGTTTGCATTTGTTGCTAAATTAAGAGACTTTTTTCAAAAAATACTGGACTGGGCACTATATCAAACTTCCATGGCCATTGCCTGACAACAGAAACAGAAAACATGTAAATTAGAACAGTTTTATTGGGAATTCAGCTTTATTAAATTATTATATATGTGAGCACAGACAGGATGAGAGGAGCAAACAGATACAGGGCAGAAACCAGCTGACACTGGGCAGAATGCGAATACAATGCAATGATATCAGTTGAAGTATACAGTGGTTCCACTATAGTTTTAATCTATGTCCTCAATTTTGCATATTGTCCATACGTGGTCCAGCCATATACTAGGTTTTGACCCGGTCTTGTTTTTGCTGTAGAGCTTTATTTACAATGACTGCAGTTTTTAAAGCAACATTAAACATAACGTTGCTGTTTTTTGACTGCAACTATCTAGCGTTATGTACCTTTCGTTTGTCACTTGGCAGATTCACATTAGAAAAATGGTCACACTGGTATTAAAGTTGACACATGCTGTTTATTGCTTTTGAACTTAAAATGATTCACTTCATCTGTCTTTGCAATTGTGATTTACATTAGTGGCTGCCTCAATTGCTTGTGAATGAGAAACCAGTTTACCAAGGCAAACCCTTGCTCCACTCTGCCATGCTTTATCTTTTGCCATTATCAGCAGAGGACAGTCTGGGCCCAGGCCTTGCCACTGTTGATCTTACAGTCAGATCTGAGCGCTGTGTCTCTGCGTCAATACTGTCCAAGGTTGTTGACTCTTTGTCCTCTCCTCTCATCTGTTACTGATGCTCCGATCAGCTCTGCAAACCTGCACTCTGCCAGCTGTGATACTAACTGAGCCAAATGTCAAAAACTAGCAACTACATTGGAAAACTGCAGTATTTACTGTAACTGAGGATTGGAAGGCCATGCTCAGGGATTTAGATACATACAATTATTGCACTGACATGAATATGCCAAAGTATTTATTTTTTATTAAGGCTGAATGATAAGCATAAAATCATCATCGATTGTTTCATTGGCCATTTTTGCATTTCATTATCACAGACAAAAATATAAAAATGATGATGATGTGATTTGTTGCTTGTTCCAAAAAAGTATGTTCCTTTATGTCTGAAGAATATGGTTTGTAGGCTGTGGCATCTCTGTACATCACAATGCTTCATTTATGGTATGTTGTGACACATTTTACACGTTTATTGCACTTGGCCATATTGCGATTTCAATAATATTTTGATTATTTGTGCAGCCCTATTTTATATCTTACATTATAAACCTCTTACAATATGTTCACTATTCCTGAAGAAAGTTGTTTATCACCAATCTAAAATTAAGATGAGAATTTTTTTATTGTCTCAACAAAATGTTCATAATTTTTCCACCAAAATGAATTTACAATACTACTGCCATTGATTAAACACAAAATATGTTGTCATTCACACCGTCTCCTCTCCTGTTTAGAGAAGGCAATACCAAACTGTCAAATGCAACGAACAATGTTCCCTCTCTTTCAGATCTGCAGAATGTTCTTTGATTTATTATCTTAGGTTGACTTTGATGAAAAGGAAAATAAATTTCCCGGTGTCCACCAATGAAATTTTTATTCAGAATTTTAGTTCTTACACTTTGAATTCTTGCCTTTAAGGTTTAGGAATGCCCATGCGCCTGACTGAAAAATTACTTTCTGTCATTGCATTTTCAGTGTGACTGAATTATTGAAATTTATAACATATATTAACATTTCTTTCCTTTATTCTCTCTCTCTCCCTCCTACTCTTTCTTTCCTTCTCTTCTCTCCTCTCTTTTCTTACCTTTTTCCACACTTTTCTTCCTTTGCTCTCTCCAGGTTCTGTTGCTTCAGTTTCACAGCAGGTGACCCCCACCCCTCCGCCAAAATCCGGCTATTAGATGTGACCACGAGGTTGATCAGGAGAAGCCACCATGTCTTAAACGCAGACGGGCCCTCTGGAGCCCTATCCCCCCACCCTGGCCCATCCTCCCCCTCCCTCATCCACCACCTTACCCCCTCTCCAAGTCCCATCCCTCTCCCAGACCTCCCTGCACATGTGAGGGACAGGCTACCTAACCCTGGCTCCCCACTGGCACACCCCTCCCCCCCCTCAGGAGAGATGAGCTTGCAGAAGCACCAGCAGCTGGGTGGTGGTAGTGGTGGGGTGATGGGCTCTGACCGGGACCTGCAGTCCACTGCTTCCTCAATTTCACTGCCCTCTGTGAAAAAAGCCCCCAAGAAGAGGCGCCTCTCCCTGACCTCTCTTTTCAGAAGGCGAGGACGGGAGCCCAAATTAGGGCGCCAAAGGTCCCGAGAGCTCCAGCACCCTGGACCTGGAGGCCTTGCAGGGGTGGATGGCATTGCCAGCATTGAGAGCATCCACTCTGAGATGTGTAATGACAAGAACTCTGCCTTCTCTGTGGCTGGGGCCGGAGCTGCCTCCGCTGCTGCTGCTGCTGCTGCTGCTGCCGCCGCCGCTGCCGCCGCCGCCGCCGCTGCTGCTGCTGCCACCTCATCTGCCTCAGGGCCTTCTTCCTCTACCTCGTCCTCTTCCTCTAAGGTGGGGGGTGGGGTGGGGGCAGAGCTACTGGAGTGCCCGCTGTGCCTTCTGCGCCACTCCAGGGAGAACTTCCCTGACATCATGACCTGTCACCACCGCTCCTGCATCGATTGCCTGCGCCAGTACCTGCGCATTGAGATCTCAGAGTCGCGCGTCAACATCAGCTGCCCCGAGTGCTCGGAGCGCTTCAACCCGCACGACATCCGCATGATCTTGAGTGACCGGGCGCTCATGGAGAAGTATGAGGAGTTCATGCTGAGGAGGTGGCTGGTGGCTGATCCTGACTGCCGCTGGTGCCCCGCGCCAGACTGTGGGTAAGCAGTGAATTTAAATTTACAAAACAATTACACAGTGAACCTGTTGCATAAGCTGTGGAAATTACACATAGTGGTTTCTCAAGAATGCTTTTCAGTGTGTTCAGGGTGTCTCAGGTTTACCTGTTGTGTGGTGTGTGAGATAGAGTGTTGCAAGTTTCCTCAGATTACTGTCTTGCACCTATAGGTAGTGTTGCATGAGACTTAGGCAACTCTGTTCTTCCCAACCTTCCTTCTCCCTTTTCTGTTATGCTCTGCCCAGCCCTTTGCCTACATCCTCGTTGTGTACAATGTGTCACACTGCTCGGTTCAAAAGGAGCATTAGATTAGTAGTACACCATTCACGTATTGATTGACAGCTGTGACTTCCCACTCTTAGAAGGGAATATCTCTGCACCTGTCACCATTTTTCCAAGGCAGGCTCCATTTCATCAAGTTAATGTCATTGTCTACCTGAGATAATTTAATATATAATAATAAATATAAGACAGCATTGTTTGTAAATTGCTGTTGCTAGGTCAAGACTAAATACATCAGCTCAGAGAATATGGGCCATTCATCAGCTCAAGATATCGCTGAGAAAATGAAGGACTTGGTTTCAGAGATCAGAATCACAAAATGCTATTTTTCATACTTTCATACTTAAGCAATATAACACATGAAGGAGTGATGTTGTACTGAATATCAGCACAGCTGTGGTATGGTCATAGGTATGAGGCCACAGGCCAACAGATTATAATTTGTTTGTTTATTTTACCATTTATTCGGCTACGCCAACACATATAGTTCTGCAACTGGACTGGTACCGGACTGTTGCTAAGTAACACATAAACATTCCTGACCTGCACAGTGCACACTAGCTAGCTACGTTGTCCACACGTTACCTCAGGTGTGCACTCAAGTATCCAGATTTCTTCCCTTCATCCTCTTCTGATGACCACACGCAATTTAGTTCAAATGTTATTTCTGGAAATAGGTTCATCTTTGCAAAGTCTGTTACAATCCAAGAGAGGTAATGACCGTTAATGTAACGCTGATTAACGGTTAATTGAACGACTGTAAAGCGGAGTGATACATATAGTTAAAAGTCCCAACTCTGTCGGCACTCATTGAATGACTCTTGTCCAATCAAATTACTTGATCAGAACTAACTGTTGTATAAACAGATGTAACATGATAGTTATGGAGGAATAGAAGTACAAAAAAGGGTGAGAAGCAGAAACAAATATTTGTTTTCAACTTGATCTGTAACTGTTAAATAACATTGTGTAATATGTATGCACAGTGTATTATGTCACAGGAGAACCCATACCTCTGTCTGTCTTTTCCAGTCTGTTGGTCTCTTTTCCAGCTATCTTTTCTGTACCAGCTGTCTGTTTGTCTCCTTCCCTGTTTGTTTTCGTTTCAGCTCTCTGTATTATTTGCTGCATGCCCCTGTAACAGTTTTGCTGTTTAATCCCATTCCTGAGTGATGACTCGTTGGCTTGCTTCCACCCAGTCCCCCACACTGCCACTGCAGTCCGTCTTTACAGAGGCCATGCAGGGTGAAATGGTGACTGACGCACTGACAAATCAAATCTGCTGCTCATTTGTATATAGCTAAGTGGACATTGGTCTAAAGTCCCTTAACTGCTGGATCTTCATAACTCACAAAATTGAGGAAGCATCTAGAATAAGAATAGAATAAGAATTTACATTAATTAAAAATGTATTGAACCATTTTTCTCTGTGAGGCTGACTCTGAAGTGGTCATGAAAAACATGGTGGACTGTATCTCGATTGCCCACTTACTCAACTACTTGTATAGCCATTTCCTTTTCTTTGAGCTGAGCGTTGGGGCGGACCATTGTCCATAGTTTTTGCAGTGTGTCTACCACTGCTGGCACTGGTTGACCCTTATCGGTGGCAATACTGCCAATTGAGTGTGTTGAATTGACAGCCTATTCTTTGCTTTTCTTTGCAACCACAGGACCACGGGCCGACAATACCAAAGCAAAGAAAAACAACTTTACAAATCTTAGCAGTTGTAGCAGTAGCAGCCACACATTGTTTTATCAACCAACTCCTTCCTTCCTCTTGTATTCATGTTTGCCAGAGTCAGATAGCACATGTGTAACTCTTGTGCTGATGGACTTTTTTTGCACAATAGGTTGGTTCTGGTTCTGAGGAAACTACAGTGTCCTTCTGTTAGGCCTGCACAATATGAGGAAAATTTGCGATGTGCGATGACACTGTTGAATGAAGTGAGTTCACTTCTCACTGATCTATACTGCAGCCTCTGTGCTGTCTGCTGTGCATGTGTGAGAGGCTGCAGCCCAGTGGAGTTTTGTCCGGTTCATTTGGCTCAGGCGCTGCGCCTTGAAGACCCTGCATGCATGGCGTGTGTAAATAAAATTATTTTTTCTAATTCATCGCGTTTCAGTCAGCCTTTTACGATGTGTTTATTGCACATGTTCATATCGCGATGACGAGTTTTTCGATTTCTCCAGCTTTTCTCTGCTCTGTCATTTCCTCTTACTTGTTCCTCTTTCCTGCAGCTCACAGGCTTTTGTTATCATGCTAATGTTCATCCAGTCTATGACTCAATTTAAGAGTTGCATGGATCAGTCAGGTTTGGGAAAAGGCACACCCTGGGCCAGGGCAAAAGACTTAATATTTGTGTTCAGCATTTATTAAGATATCCCTGTCGATTTTTCTCAGAACACCCTCTGTATTAATATGACATTATTGATTAGAAAACAGTATTGTCATTGGTTATACAGTTGATAACTACCATCAGCAACACACTTTCCTTGGTTTTTCATGAGTCCAAATGAGGAGAGAGAGAGAGAGAGAGAGATAATGGAGTAGTACAGTTTAGACGTCAACAGAATTAAAGTACATGTATTTAATTCATTAAAGTGCTTATTTTCTAATGGCTGTGAATGCACTGCTGCATTCGGAAATGTAACCTATTTGAGTACTTAATCCCTCTGTCCCTGACTCCCTGGTCAGAGGAAATGTAATGTGTAAATGGACTTGCACTTATATAGCACTTTTCTACCACTCAAAGCGCTTTACAATACTTGCCACATTCAACCATTCGCTCAAATTCATACATCACACTCATATGCACAGTCATACACTGACGGAACAGCCATCAGGGGCAATGTGGGGTTCAGTATCTTTCCCACGGATACTTCGACATGCAGCCTGGGGATCGAACCACCAACCTCCTAATTAGTGGACGTGTCCTGAGCCACAGCCGCCCCGTGTAAATTAGTTACACACAGCGGGTACTGATGTTACAGTTATTGGGCAAAATTTTGTGTGACCACCATTATTATCTAGCACTGCCTTAACCCTCTTGGGCATGGAATTCACCAGAGCTGCACAAGTTGCTACTGGAATCCTCTTCCACTCCTCCATGATGACATCACGGAGCTGGCGGTTAGACACCTTGCGCTCCTCCACCTTCCGCTTGAGGATGCCCCACAGGTGCTCAATTGGGTTTAGGTCTGAGAGAGACCTAAACCCAGACATACTTGAGACATACTTGGCCAGTCCATCACCTTTTACCTTCAGCTTCCTCAGCAAGGCAGTTGTCATCTTGGAGGTGTGTTTGGAGTCGTTATTATTTTGGAAAACTGCCCTCCGGCCCAGTTTCCGAAGGGAGGGGATCATGCTCTGCTTCGGAATGTCACGGTACATGTTGGAATTCATGTTTCCCTCAATGAACTGCAGCTCCCCAGTGCCGGCAGCACTCATGGAGCCCCAGACCATGACGCTACCACCACCATGCTTGACTGTAGGCAAGACATAGTTGTCTTTGTACTCCTCACCAGGGTGTCGCCACACACGCTTGACACCATCTGAGCCAAACAAGTTTATCTTGGTCTCGTCAGACCACAGGAAATGGTTCCAGTAATCCATGTTCCTGGACTGCTTGTCTTCAGCAAACTCTTTGCGGGCTTTCTTGTGCATCAGCTTCAGAAGAGGCTTCCTTCTGGGACGACGGACATGCAGACCGATTTGATGTAGTGTGCGGCGTATGGTCGGAGCAATGACAGGCTGACCCCCCACTTCTTCAACCTCTGCAGCAAATGCAGGCAGCACTCATTCGTCTATTTTTTGAAGCCAACCTCTGGATATGACGCTGAACACGTGGACTCAACTTCTTTGGTCGACCCTGGCGAGGCCTGTTCCGAGTGGAACCTGTCCTGGAAAACCTTGGCCACCGTGCTGTAGCTCTGTTTCAGGGTGTTAGCAAGCTTCTTATAGCCTAGGCCATCTTTATGAAGAGCAACAATTCCATTTTTCACATCCTCAGAGAGTTCTTTGCCATGAGGCGCCATGTTGAATATCCAGTGACCAGTATGAGAGTATTAGAGAGAAAACACCAAATTTAACAGCCCTGCTCCCAATTCACACCTGAAACCTTGTAACACTAACGAGTCACATGACACCAGGGAGGGACAACGACACAATTGGGCACAATTTGGACATGTTCACTGTGAGGTGTACTCTCTTGTGTTGCCAGCTGTTTAGACATTAATGGATATGTGTTGAGTTATTTTCAGAGGACAGTAAATCTATACTGCTATACAAGCTGTACACTCACTACTTTAAGTTATATCAAAGTTTCATTTCTATAGTGTTGTCCCATAAAAAGATATAATAAAATATTTGCAAAAATGTGAGGGATGTACTCACTTTTGTGAGATTCTGTATGTTTTCTTGGCATGGTTAAATGGGTTTGACAGTGTTGTACTAAAAGATCAATGGGCCGCATTCACAAATATGGGCATAGAAAAGTGTGCACGAAAAATTAATGTCGGATTCATGACACATGCTCACTGGCCAATTTTGATAGTACCACTGTGCGCATGTTAGTGAATCAGAATTATCCTAAATTGACAGGCACATGTCTGCCATTTGCAATCAGCATACTGCCACACCCTGATTTCTCTGTAAGAAAATACAGTTGCCTAGAGGTGTATCATGGAGAAAGTGGTGTTGGTTAGAGAGAGGCAAAGACGTAGTAGAAGTATTAGGATTTGTAACAGTGGCCTGTCCATAGCTGGCCAACAATATCCAACACAAAGGCACATGATGTGTTGGACAAGCAGAAGTAATGCATTTATCAGTGTACATGCAAGCCAAACTGACCACTTTTGTAGTATGGCTGTTCACAAATCTAAAAAACGAACTCCTATTTGTTTTACATACATGCAATCTAAAACATGTTATAATAGCATTGGCTTAAAGTAGTCATAGAAGACGTGTGGGGATGTTCATAATCTTGAATGCCTTTTTGAGGCAGTTTTAATCTTTGCTAGGGATCTTTCTTTTGCTTATAATTTTAGAGCTGAGGTTAACTACACCTTGTAATTGAATGTTGTCCTTTTGACAGAGGGAAGCTAACCTAGCAAACCACCATGTGTTTTGTTTGTGTAGGTATGCAGTGATAGCCTTTGGGTGTGCCAGCTGTCCTAAGATCACTTGCGGCAGGGAGGGCTGCGGTACCGAGTTCTGTTACCACTGTAAGCAGCTGTGGCATCCCAACCAAACCTGTGATGCAGCACGGCAGCAGAGAGCCCAGAGCCTTCGTCTGAGGACCATCCGCTCGTCCTCCCTCAGCTACAGCCAAGAGAGCGGAGCTGCAGGTTAACTGAGTGAACTAACACACGCACACACATACACACACGCACAGAAGATAGTTGCATGAATGCCCAATTACTTTTTCTAACACCGTGGTGAAAATTGAAGTGATGTTATCTGACTGAACAGACCTCACCTGCTGATAGCAGTGGCATTATACAGAGTCTAGTGGGTGAAACTTAATTATGAACAGTTAAATCACATTCTCTTTCTCTCAGCTGATGACATCAAGCCATGTCCGCGATGTGCTGCTTACATCATCAAGATGAACGACGGCAGCTGTAACCACATGACCTGTGCCGTCTGCGGATGTGAGTTCTGTTGGCTCTGTATGAAGGAAATCTCAGACCTGCACTACCTGAGGTCAGTATGTCAGCACACGTACACACAGACACGCTTTACAGGCCTTGGTTAGTTTAACATGTTTACATTTAAGTACACTTAGAGTAACAATGTCAAACATTGTTGTGTAAGCAAATCACAACTGTTCATCCTCATCAATCGTCATTACTGCCTTCATCCTTGTGATCGTGATTCTAAGAAAAACAGTCATATTGATATACAGTAAGTTTTGTTGTCTGAAGAGTGCCCAAGATAAAGAACCTATCCACCAAGCTTGATCGTTCTACTTCATGACATTTTTGATCTGCCTGACTAAATTAAAATATTTTGAATGATCGTGAAGCTGATTTTCATCAACACTAGGAGAAATTTTTCCCTCAGTTGTGTGACATGGGGAAAAAAAACTGAAGACCTATTATAATATGCATACAAATGTATAAATGGAGGACTACTTCTTTTTCAGTCCATCGGGCTGTACATTCTGGGGTAAGAAGCCATGGAGCAGGAAGAAGAAGATTTTGTGGCAACTGGGAACACTTGTGGGTGCCCCTGTCGGCATCGCACTCATCGCTGGTATAGCTATTCCCGCCATGATTATCGGCATCCCTGTATATGTGGGAAGGAAGGTGAGGCTCAAGAGACACATTGTTTGTATGTATATATTCAGGTTCCTCTGCTAATAGTTACAACTACATGGATGAGGCAGAACATCTACTCATTCGTTCACTGTTTAGATTTACTGTTCAAACACTCGACTGTATAGAGCTGTGTGGTTTATTATAAAGCACGGGGTTTCAGTCTCCAGTGAGTCAGTCAGTCAGACTGCTGCATTTTAATCATTTGAATAGTTCCCTTGCTTTGGAGCTCTGCTCACACGGTGTTCCTCTGAGGCAATATATTTTCAGTTGTAAACATACTCTGTTACATAACTTTATACATATTACATTATCAGTAATGGAAATAAACATGGCCAGATACAAGCACATATATCAAACAGTAAGTCACTAGTTAAATTGGAAAAAAAATAGTGTTAATAATGTTATTTATTTTTCCCAGGCTGAAGATATCTCAAGCCAGCTGAGGTCATTTCTGATTAACTTGTACATCTGTGTATATACACTGATGTTGCAACTCTCAGTCTGGGTCTGTTTAATGACAGTTTGACGTTGCAATAAAATTAAAGTGTTCAGACTCTCCAGAATTCCCCTCCTAATCCTGCCAAGAAGAAGCCAGAGCCAACAAACTTTTCCCCCTGACCAAACCAGACCACATTCAGCAGTGATCACATGACACTTGTGAAACATCTCAACATGAATCACCTGCATTTCACAGGCACTGGTTGAAAGCTGCTGTTCAGTCATGACATTGACTCATAGACATTTTATTGCTCTATGGTCACATGTCATAGTCTTTATACTCATACTACGTTTCATAGCAGCTGTACTGTCATTGTTAACTGACTTATACTTGCAACAAACAGTCTTTGTGGAAGGTAAGAGGGAACACACACACACACACACACACACACACACACACACACACACACACACACACACACACACACACACACACACTCTATTAGGTACACCATGGCAGTACCGGGTTGAACCCCCTTCTCCCTTCAAAACTGCCTTAATTCTTCATGGCATAGATTCAACAAGGTGCTGGAAACATTCCTCAGAACACTGAACTTTTTCTCTCTCAGATCCACAACCGCTACGAAGGCAAAGATATTTCCAACCACAAGAGGAACCTGGTGATCGCTGGTGGGGTGACGCTCTCTGTCATCGTGTCTCCTGTAGTAGCTGCAGTCACTGTCGGTCAGTCTGTTCTCCAATCTCTCCTCACTCCTTCCTTTTTCTCTTTCTCTGTGTCTGCTCTTACTCTCTTTTTGTTTTCAAAGTCAATTGGATTTCTCCTGAGTTGTACAAAAAGATTTGAAAGTTCAAGGAGATTTATACTGTTGTGATTTCTGTGTGTCAGCAACACTGGCCTCCAGTTTTTTTCCTCTGTGCTGTGGTCTAACTTGTCTCTGTTTCTGTGTCTTTGTCTCTTTCACCCTGCAGGCATTGGCGTTCCCATCATGCTTGCCTACGTCTATGGCGTTGTTCCCATCTCTCTGTGCCGCAGTGGAGGTTGTGGTGTCTCAGCCGGGAATGGCAAAGGAGTCCGCATCGAGTTTGATGATGAAAATGACATGAATGTTGGCAGCGGGGCAGCTGCCACTGGTAAGCTTTAGTGCCCCCACCACCACTACCCTCACTGACATCCAAAAGCCACCTTTTGTGTTTATACCAAAGTCAGCAAACAACACGATTTGGTTTTTTCCTGATTGATGCACCACTGAGTCCCAATTTAAATGAAATCTGCTGCAATGTCAAGTGTTCCCTCACACCTCTTATTTCACAGAAAAACCCATGAATGCTTGGAAAAACATTTCTGTTTCATCAAAAATGTCTCATGTTTTAGACACACTGCCTTATTTTTCCTGCAAAAGATTATTATGTTTTTGGTAAATGGTAAATGGGGCAGCTGTGGTTCAGGAGGTAGAGTAGTCTGATTAGAGGGTCGGTGGTTTGATCCCTGGCTCCTCCTGGCTGCATGTCAATGTGTCCTTTGGCAAGATACTTAACCCTACGTTGCCCCGATAGCTGTTCAGTCAGTGTATGTGTGTGATGCATGAATGTGTGTGGATGAATGTGGCAAGTAGTATAAAGTGCTTTGAGTAGTCAGTAAGACTAGAAAAGTTCTATAAAAGTGCAAGTCCATTTACCATGATGTTATTTCATGATTGTATCTTCTTTGTAGATACTACATCAGTGGCAGACACAAGGAACAACCCCAGTATAGGTGAAGGCAGTGTTGGGGGGTTGACGGGCAGCCTGAGTGCCAGTGGTAGCCACATGGACCGTCTGGGGGCCATCAGAGACAACCTGAGTGAGACAGCCTCCACCATGGCCCTGGCTGGAGCCAGCATCACCGGCAGCCTCTCTGGCAGTGCCATGGTCAATTACCTAAACAGGTACTGAGACGGAAACACATGCCGTGGGATTTAAATGTTAATGCAACCTTGGACTTCATGGTGCTTTCTTGCATTATCTAATCTCCCCCCTCACATGTTGTCAGGCTGGAGGTGCAGGCTGATGTGCAGAAGGAGCGTTGCAGTCTCAGTGGTGAATCTGGCACCGTCAGCCTAGGTACAATCAGCGACAATGCTAGCACCAAAGCAATGGCTGGATCCATTCTTAATGCCTACATGCCTCTAGACAGGTGAGCATCATTTACTTTTTATCTAGATAAAGCATTTAGAGATGAGTCTGTTCACTGGCAGCGCTGGTGTAGTTCTATGTAGCTGGTGTCCTTCCAGAAATCCTCATTATTAAACAGTGTAGGGAGAATTTAGCTCCATTTGGGAAATATGGCGTTAATCAGAATTATCATGTGGAACACTTTTCATGGCCAGATGGTGCTGACTCAAATTATATCGCTGTAATTATAAATAATCAAATTATATAGATATAATTTGAGTCAGCACCATAAAACTAAGGGAATTATTAACAAACGGTGAAGGATCGGATACATTAAGTGACTGAAAGTTACAGAAAACACAGACAACAACTTTATACTTCCACATGTGTCACTACGCACTACTAACAAAGACTGACACAAAAACAACCCAACAAACACTAACTACACACACAGTGAAAGGATAGATGAATGTAACTGTGACAGGAGAAATATGCAGCAGGTGAATAAACCAAGGTGAGGTGGCCTCTACATGATGCAGCTGGTAAAAGTCGTAAAACTTAAGGATCACGTTTGAGAAGCCAGTTGTAATTTCTGAATTCACCTTGTTAGCAGAAAAGAAGGTATTTGACTTGTGTTTCCATGGAACAACTGATTCAGCACGGTGGTTTGTGATGTGAGCGAGAAGATGATGATGCAGCAGCAGAGGTGAAGTGATGAAGATTCTGATGAGGTTGTGATTAGCAGAGGAATGTAGAGACTGAATAAAATGACAAAACTATTAACAGGAGTAAGAAGACAAATACACACATCCACACAATACCATCAGTAATAAATTCCTGACATGAGTAGACAAGAGAGGCTGTAAGAGGGAGGGGGGTGCTTTAAGGTATTTCCAGAAAGTGTCTTAGGTTGGCTGTGAGTGAACACATGACATTTCCATCCTTGATTATGTCTATCCAACAGTGATATGGCACTGGTTTGCTGATTCAATCCCATCTGAGAAAATATTCCATTCTTCTGTATGTAGTTCGATATGAGAAGGTCCCAGAGCGTAAACAGTCTGCCATTAGCTGTTCTTTCTTAATTTGATCTTATCTTCTGTCTTCTCTGAGTAGCTTTGATCTGTCTTTAAATGTAAACACAGGTCCAGGTTTGGTGTTCTGGTCAGAGCAGCAAATGTCCTCACAAGTGATTTACTGCCATGAAAAAGGACCAAAAAGCCCAAGTGCTAAAGCTGGGGTTGCCTGAATTTAGGGATGTTACATACTGTACATATAGTTTTTTTCTTAAATGCCCTTTTCTTGTCTCAGAGATGGGAACAGTATGGAGGTCCAGGTTGACATTGAATCCAAACCCAGCAAACTACGGCACCACAGTGGCAGCAGCAGTGTAGATGACAGCCATGTCGGTCGCTGTGGCTGGACGTGCCCCTCTAATGGCTGCACCTCGTCAGAGGGCAAAGGAACCTCCGCCAAGTGGGCCAAAGAGGCATCCTGCTGCTCCTCCTCCAGCTCTGGGGGCAAAAAGAGCAAAGGCAAGCTGCGCAAGAAAGGCTGCGGTGGCACCAAAATCAACGAGACACGGGAAGACATGGACGCTCAGCTGCTGGAGCAGCGCAGCACCAACTCCTCTGAGTTCGACTCTCCTTCGCTGAGCGGCAGCCTGCCTTCCGTGGCTGACTCCCACTCCAGCCACTTCTCTGAGTTCAGCTGCTCCGATCTGGAAAGCATGAAGACGTCCTGTAGCCACGGCTCCGGTGGAGGCGACTACCACACGCGCTTTGCCACTGTCAGCCCTTTACCTGAGGTAGAGAATGACCGTCTGGAGACCTGCCCCACTTCTTCATCGTCCTCCTCCCATGGACAAGGAGCTGTGATCACTCCCCACTCCCCCACCTCCACCACTTCCTCCCTGGGCCACGGGCCAGAGCTCTCACCTCTCTGCTTCATCACAGAGGAGAATGTCAACCTGGTGTGTCCCGCTGAGCTGGACTCTCACAGCAACACTGGAGAGCAGCTTAAAGAAACCAACAACAACCACCACCGACCGCAACATCTAACCCAAACCCAGCAGCAGCCCAAGAACTCCTGTATACAGACTGACATCTAAAATCTCAATACCTTAAGTGCTGCACAAACGCTGTTTTTATTTAACATCCTTTCCTCCATTAAACTAACAATCATAGCCTACAGTTTAGCCTGCATTTTCTGTTAGTCCTTTGTAAAGGGGACATGTTATTTTGGGATTCATGTCCTTCATAAAAAAAACAACCTTTGAGTGAAACAGCTCTGTGTCCGCTGACTGTCAAAAGGCTGGAAGTATTAAAAGGTTCCCAAAGTGCAGCCATGTGAGTAGTGTTAAGGTTGTGAATGCTGGTGTTTCTCCCTGTGCGACCCACAGACTGCTGACTCATTTTTGACAGTTCACTCTCTTGCCACTTGTAACAGAAGACAGCCCACTGATTTGGTTGCTGTCATTTTGATCTGTGTAGGTTATAATAAAACCACTGTGCCAGTTTTGCAAGTATTTGATTCTGGCCCTATAATGTGGATGCAAAACCATGCAGGAATCTTAATGTTACAGCTTTCTAGAAGTTGACTCAAACAGGGACCAGGCAATATGATTCACTATTTCCTCTATTTCTTTTCCCCAAAATATATTAGTCACAGAGGAGCCTTTGTGTTCTTGTCTGTATTTATTATTAGACTTTTTTTGTTTGTTTTTTTCCCTGGATGTTAAATGAAACATCTAATATATAAATATGAGGCCTGAGCTCCACATTGTGAAGCATTTTAGCACTAAAATTGACTCGTACCACAACCAATATTATCCATACATGGATGTACAGAGTCCCATTGTGGGAGAAGGTGCTTGGCAGCTTGGTAACCACTGAGTTTAGACCTGTAGCCTAAAACTCTGTGTGCGCTTTTAGTGCTAAGATGACTTTGGACGCTCGGGCTTTGTTTAGTTCTGTGGAAATCTTGTGATGATATGTTGGGGGGTGGGTGGGTGAGGGTTGATGAGATTTGAAAAAGGTCTCTGGAAGGCCACAGTTGTCAAGATAATGCTTAAAGTCATTATAATAACATTAACCAATGGGTTGGTCAATTCTGTGAAATTGTATAAAGAAAATGTTTTTGTCCTTTTCAAAGGTGATTTATTCAGGCTGATGGTCTCGCCTCACTGAGTAAGAGAGAGCTTTGATATCTTTCTTTGTTAACTCATGGTGCCTTTAAGAAGCTGTGTTGTTTGTCTCTCTCCACTGTGTCTTCAAGACTCCAAACAGCAACTTATTATAGGTTACAGAATGTGTGTCTGTGTAGGAGGGATGCTCATTTCCATACAGAACACACTGTGGTAGACATGGTAAATGAAGACTTTGCAATTGCCTACCAAAGACAGCACTCAGGCTATTGTTAAATCTTATACCTTTGAATTGTCACCTGTACACACAGTGTGGTGAAACCTTTTACACCATGGGGATGAATGACGACAAGACCCAGGATTATACAGACATACAGACTGCTGTTTCATACATGCTTCACAAATGCTACGCAAATAACTGAGGCCGCAAAATGGCCCAAGGCACCTGCACTGTTACCCGTATTTCTTATTACATTGATGTTCTGCAATGCACAAGATTAATAGGGGTACATAGGTTTGTTATGGGTTACCTTCCCTATTGATTTTCCTGCAACTCCAGTTGTCAATCAGTGCTGCTGAGCAGACTTGAAGTCAGATTCTGTTTTCAGCACTTTTCTTTCAGAGCGTTTGCTAAAGCCTGTCTTTACTGCTCAGCGGTCAGCTTTATTGAGGCCACTGAGTCAGCTCAGGTGAACCTCTACCACGTAGGTAAAAGCATCCTGAATGGTATTTTGACCCGGGCCTGTTACTGAATGAACACAGTTTAGTTCGGTGGATAAGGCTACATGCTGCAGTCCTCCCCACATTAAAGCAAAATGTTTTGTTCTTCCCCACCTTGGTTCTTTTTCCTCATTCTTCAGCAAAACTCCCCTTTCTCAATCCTAATTTGAACACTAGTGCCAGATATAATTTGTAATTTGTGCAGAATGGCATAAGGTATTTGTATATTTGTTTGGTAATTTGCTTTACTATATGCGTGTAAATGCATATCAGAAAAATAAAAAAATATATATATGAAATGTTTCCATCCTCATTTTTTAAGTTGATACATGTGCTTCAGATAGTTGTTATTCCATCTTTAATAGTCTGTTTCTATAACACTGAACTCACCATAGCATAAAGAAGAAACCCTCTATACTTATTTCCAGTTTATTGAATAGCCCTATTAGTATTGTACACATTTTACATATCTACTGAAATATAATTTCAAACCACAATGAGGAGAAACTAGAAGGTGTAATTATCGTCCCTTGCCCGCCAACTTGTCACCCTGAACTAAATTTGGTACATTCATGTAGAGCAGAGAAAACATTTGAAAACAAAAGTTGGTTTGGATTCAGGCAGTCTTCAATGACTGGATTATTCAATAGGTAAATACATGGATAGAATGTATTTATATTAACAAATAAATGACACATTTAAAACAATGACGTGCATGTAGCTAAGTGAATATATGTATAATTTATGATGTAAATCCAAGCCATTTAACAATTTGATTAAAGCTACTGAATGACATAAATATACTCTCTCTTTAGGAATGTAATCTGTACACTCACCAAAATGTAAGCAACCCATAGTCAAGGCACACATCTCATTAAGATGCTGCTTCTCTCCAGTGTGTACACTCCTGCATGGCTGAACTGCTGTGAAGATGAATGTGCAGATGTGTGTTGCCTGGCAGGCTAATTTGGTAAACAAAAAGGGTGAATGACTTTTTCAGAAGACAGACACCAGCCTTTCAAATGCGATTTTACATTAGAACCCAGATATGCTAACTGCATAGCTGAATAAACAAGAGAGAGCATCTCAGTCATGTAAGGTTACAAACTGTATTTTCTCGTACAGCATCGTCTGTAAATACCAGTCCAACAGATACTGTTACCGTACTGCACAGAACAGCAACAAGATGTCATGAAGGCCTATTTCTTCCTCAGAGATAATACAGTTCATATGGTCATAATAAAATAGTTAAAGTTACTTTATCTTATGGTTTTGTTCCACTGCAAGGGATGTCTTAATTATCTCAGGAGCAAATGACCTCACTTGTTCCTCTGCTAGGTAATATTCAGGATGCACTGAATAAATATCATTTCTGATCTTAGCTAGTGTCTGCTCATTTATCAAATGGCTGATATCAAAAGACTGACCAGATCAACTGAGCACAATTTTGGGAACATGGTCTTGTCCTGAGCAAATGCTACAGCTTGTAGGGGGAAATACTTGCCTGTAGCCTTACATAACTTTGTACATTGGACCCTATTAATCAACACACTTAAGTTAAAGGTCCACAGTATCCCAATGTCTGCCTGTTGTACAATGCAAGTAGTTAGTGGTGGTACAAAAGTAAATCTGCATAGCAAAATATTCCAGAGAAAAATTCCTTATCCTGTCATTCATACATACGGCGATTATTTACAGTACAGATCAGTAGAGTGAATGTGACTTAGTTCCATTGTTTTGCCCTGGGCCACATTCTACAGCTTCCTGCCTTTGTTTACTCAGTTCTTGTGCAGTGTTTTGCATAGATCCAAGAGTTGTAGTGGTACAGCAGCTCATGCAACAGGGAGCAGGGGCAGGAGGGTCAGATGTATTTGTTGGCTAGGTTCTGAACATCGTTCTTAGTGAACTCTGTGCTCTCCATGGCTGACAGATGCTCAAACAGATGAGTCATGTGGCGACGCTCATCCTTCTCCAGCAGCATGAGTACAGTCTGCAGAAAAAGCACATTATCATTTATCACCAAAACGTCAGCTGCTGCAAACAAAGTGGACAGATTACTTATGAAAGAATTTGATCAATTTATGGGAAGTCCAAGGGAGTGATGTAAAAATAAACTTAAACTCATCTTTTCACATCATTTGTTTTTCTTTCACAAAACCTTGTTTGAATGCGAAGTAAACCTTATCTTACCGAGAACCTGTCAGCGGTGTGCAAATGGTTGAGGTGTTGGTAGACTAGGTTGGGGTCTTTCTCCAGGAGGTGGGAGTCCAGCACCTGCATGATGAAGCTGATGGTGTGTCCATCCAGCTGGCTGCTCAGGTACTGTGGAAGCATCTCTGAGGATGTGGAGGCCAGCAGGTCAGCGCAGGCCACTGTGTTTCCACTACAGCGGGCCGCATTCAGAGCCTGGCCAAACTCGTAGACGTTGGTCGGATGGAGGTTGATGGTGATGTCGTCTCCTCTGCAGCTGCCCTCTGAGTTAGGAACAGCTGTTGTTTCTTCATCACCTTCAACCTTAAGAAGATCAGCAAAGGTGATGAGAATGATTTACAGAGGAAAGACATGACGAAGGGGTTTTTGGTGGAACCTTTAAACGTTGACAAAAGAAGGCAGTAGCTCCTTTCTGTGCATATTGCATGAATATGAAGACACCGAGAGAGACGAAAAGAAAGCATACAGGTATGATTACGCCAAGATCCCAATCAAAAAGTAATGCATGTCTGGCAACTCTCTGGCAAATATTCACAATCTTTAGGAAATCGTAGAATTCACTTCCTTTTGTATAAATAATTTGTCAATCACAATCATACATCCACCTGAAGATTGTAAGCCCCAAACTGACGAGTAATAGTAAACAGGAAAATAGTTTGTGCTTCATCTTGCTAGATGTTTGATTTTCTTCACGTGTCACTCCTTTTCTTTGCTCTTTGGTGCTGAGCAGGTAGTGAACAAATTGGTTTGTCTGGGCTTAAAATTGCTGCCTACAAATGTGGGCGTTGATGAGAGTGGGGAGACTCAATTATACTATCTACATGTAAATCAGAACAATGATCTCTAAGTGGCTAAAAGCTGCAATGTCAGGTGTTGATTTACAATAGGTTGTTGTTAGTAGTTGCAGATTCAGTGTTAATATATAGGTATCAATGGTTGAAAGAGTGACAACTCAAATAGTACACTACATTTTAAAATTTGTGTGACATGCTGGAAATTTCCTTCTTAGTTATAGCTGTTTTTGCAGTGGAAGAATGTGTCCTGCAGTTCCCACTATGACCACTAAACCATAATCAGCACACAGCCCAGGCTCCATGAACATACAGTATCATCTTCTGCCCAAACATCCATCCATCCATCCATCAATTATCCTTTTGGGGACTGATGAGCCAATCCAGCTGACACTGGGTGAGAGGCGGGGTACGACCTAGACAAGTCACCAGTCTATCGCAGTCACGCTCACATTCACACGTACGGCCAGTTAATCCAAGTTCAAAACCAAAACCTTCTGAAGCAACAGTGCCAACCACTGCACCACCATGCTGCTCCTCCTCCTCCCAAACACATGTAAACAAAACACAGAGGAAAAAGACAATCTGTTCTTTGCACTGCACAGGGGCTCACTCCAACCCTGGTTAAAATATATATCCAAAAAAAGCATGTGTCTCTACCTCTGTGATGGGGACAGTCCTCCGGGACTTGGCTGGTGAGGTGTTGGCCAGACTCTGTCTGAGCAGGACTGTGACTTCCTCCAGCTCCTTCTCAGCCTCCTGCACATTGGGATCTTGATGCAGCACCTCCTGCAGGTCAGAGCTGCAGGCTAGGTAGTCCTGTTGGAAGGAGAGACAAAATACTGCTTTACCTATAAACCAATATGTGACATTTTACACAGAGTTTATATAGTTTTGCATGTTTGACAAATTGGGGTGAATTTATAGATTTCACTCCTTTAAATGAACATATTCCCTTCTGGCATTAGTCATTAATAGCCAGCTCTGTTCACCTTAAGGCCTTTATTGGCCAGGGCTCGTCTGTAGAAGGCTTTCTTATTGGTTGGCTCCAGTTTCAGTGCTGCATCACAGTCCTGTTTGGCCTCAGTAAACCTCTCCTGCTTCAAGTAGCACAGGGCTCTGCAAACAAGAAACACACACACACACACAACGTCACTTGTTATTTTTATTTTTGTCATTAGCAACCAGTCTTACTTGATGCATGACTAAAAGGTACGATGAGTTTGTGACTCATCAACTGTGAATCAACCTTGATAATAAAAGCTAAAGACATGAAAATCATTTTCATATGAAGTACATGAGACAAGGGACAAAATGTACATGTCTGAGATTAGCTCTAATAGCTTTTTTCTTGTTTTCTTCATGAATGTGTTGTCAAAATTTTAGTCTAATGGGTCTCAGCAGTAGCATACGGGTGTTTGGTCTTGTGCAGCCTTGCATACAAGCTATTTTTACAGTAGAGCTCAATATACACATGCAAACATGAACATACAATAGGAAATTTTTCATCAGCATCACAGTTTCCTCTGTGACATGATCAACAATCTACCGACTATTGTGAAAAAGAAGGATGGAGTGTGGAGTGGTGGGAGACAGAGAATGCAGTCAGACCTGCCTCCTGCAAGCACTATGCTTGCTGTATTTCTCTTTCAGCATAAGATAATATGATAGTGGCTGTGGTGGTGGAGTGGTGTTGTGATAAACAAAGAGCTGAACCAGGCAGCTGTTTCCTGAACCATGGCCACTCTGTTCTTACCAACAATAGATGCTAATTTACTACCAGTGACGGACAGACTGGTTGGTATTAGCTACAGAGCTAAATGCACTGACAGGTGATAGCTGGGGATAAGCAATCAATCAGTCTGTTTTAATTTATCCAAACCAGTAACTGGATGTTCTGGAAGTTTTCTGACATTCCTGCATGTCAAAGAAACAAAGCATGAGAAGTATAGAGCATCACAGTGAGGAAGAGAAAGTGAAAGAGGCCACAGTGTCTGTGAGACCAACACCTCTAACCTGTTAGTGTAGATAGCACACTCTTCTGGCTTTATCTTAAGGCATTCAGTGTACTTTCCCAGTGCATCCTGGTATTGGCTCTTCTTCACAAAGTCATTCCCCTCTTGCTTCAAAGCTGTAAAACGAACTTCTGCTTTTCTTTCTGAAAGACAAAGGAAAATGCTGATTACTGATGTGGCCTGTTTGCATAAAGACCAGTTCAACTCTTTGTCGAAGCCACAAATCCACATTTTCACTTCAATACATTTGAACAGATCT